TCCCAATGTAGTCCTGCTACCTGTGATAGGGTTAGGGTTAGGGTTAGGTTTAGGGTCAAGGTCAGGGTTAGGGTCAATGTCAGAGTAAGGGTCAAGGTCAGAGTTAGGGCTAGGTCAGGGTCAGCGTCAGGGTTATGGTTAGGGTTAGGTTCAGGATTACTGTTAGGGTGAGGATCAGAGTTACGGTTAGGGTTGGGGCGTGGGTTAGTGTTAGGGTTACGGTTAGAGTCAGTGTCAGGTTCAGTTTTAAGGTTAGGATTTGGGTCAAGATTAGGGTTAGGGTTAAGCTTAAGGTTAGGTTTTGGTTTATAGTTAGGATTTCAGTTAGGATTAGGTTTACGGTTTGGTGAGGTTTAGGGTTAGGGCAAGTGTTAAGATTAGGTTTAGGTTTGGGATTAGGGTTAGGGTTAGGTTTCGGATTAGGGTGAGGGTTAGACTTATGCTTAGATTTACTGTTAGTTTTTGGGTTAGGGTTAGATTTAGGTTTAGGGTTAGGGTTGGATTTAGGGTTAGGTTCAGGTTTAGGGTTAGGGTCAGGATTAAGGTTAGAGTTGACGTTCGGCTGAATCGCAGCACATTCTGTGGCTGCAAGTCGGTGTTAGGGTTAGGGTTAAGGGTAGGGTTATCAGCATTCAGGGACTGTTTCTGCCTCAGCCATAGCAATCTGAGTTCACATTTAAAACAGTGGGTCAGCTGCTTGAGCTACTACTGAGGAAGTTTTATTTATTGCCTTCTGGAGAGCCTCTCAACTCCGAAAAAGTTTTGGATAACTGGACTGGAAGGTCATCTGCTTGCATTGTCACCTCTTCCTCCATGGATCATGTGGCCACATATTCAGGGCAAATACCAACTTTTCTCCTTCAGTTGTTCAATGTACCTGACCTCAATGGGAATCTGAGAGGACATTGAGATGTTATTACCTTTGATCACACCAGGTCAACACCAAGGAGCAAATCAATAGCATCCACCAGCTGGATGAGGTTGATCTGCACAATCTTTCATCCCAACACAAGATCAAATTCCAGATTCACCCAGATTTGCCTGTGCCACCCCCTTCAATCCCCCAGTGCCTTGGCACGTGTTGCACTCTCTGGTGGTAGGGCCAGGCCTTTTTCCTGCTGTAGAGTTTTTGTGGTCCCAATATCCCTCAGAAACGCTACAGGCCTACTCATTTCACCCTGGGAACTGTGGCCAGCCTGCTTTTCGATACAAAAACTCTCAAGAATTTATTTAATCTCATCTGCACACTCAAGGCTCCCTTTACAGGAAGCCACAGCTGCAGTCAGAGACATATCTGTTATACTCCCTGAGTGGCTTGCATTCCCTTTACAAGGTTTATGTGCCTGTGGTATATAAATTCCATTGGTTTTTACTGTACCTTTCAGCAGTTGGCCCAAACATGCCCTACCTTTCAGTCATTGAAACAGGTAGACTTCTTCGTCTGCCCTTTCCTCTCAGCACCACTCTTTCTGTCCTGAGGCGAGCTCCCTGTCTCCATGGGTGCTCAGTTTTTAATCACTCTCCCACCCCAATACTTTCCCAATAGTAGAGGGTGATGAGGGGAAGATGTTTTCTAGAGCATTGGGCTTGTGAATCAGTTGCTAGTCCTCAGCCAGTGTCACAGCCTACCTGGATCCAGTCAATCTCTGTTCCTTGAGGTGCATTATGATTGGAAGCTTTTAAAGTCCTCAAGGAAAATTGTCTCACACATTTTTTCTTAAATTCCTTCTGTTTTATGTGCCCATACCCACTGGCCTAAAGAAAGTTGCCTACGCTTTTTGAATTCTAGGTATGTCTGGTAAGAAAATTCAACTTTATAATAGAAGCATTGTTCATACCTGGACATGATAATACAAAAACAGATTCACTCTCACAAATGTAAAGTTTGGAAATTTTTTTAAAAAGCGCCAAGACATTGCATATTCCTGTGTAAGGCATGACTAAGAGGAAATTAATGTAGTTTTCTTGTGTTTTATTTTATATGTGTCATATTTACATTGTTATGAAATGCATTTGGAAGGACATCTCATTTCTGAAGATGGAAACTGGAAAGTCAGACTACATGGACAGTGATGGATTTAATCACACCATTCTTGGGGGAAAAAAGAAGAGTCAAAGAAAACTGTTATTTGAGAATTAATGGACAAGTAAATAACTTATAACAGGTCTCAGCCAAAAGTTTAAAAATAAGTAAGACTGCTTTTATGACCTTAAAGGCTTGACAAACAAACCGAAAGAGAAATCCTACAATCTGTGGTGCCAAAACCTAGCAATTGGTCACCCCTCAGCCTCCTACGCTCCAGGGAAAAACGTCCCAAATTACTCAGCCTTTCCTTTTAACTCAAACCCCTCAGTCTTGGTATAATCCTTGTAAATCTTTTCTGCACCCTTTTCAACTTCTACTCTCTCCCACACAGAGTAACATCATCCTTTCAGTATCTCCTCAGTAACTTCCCCTCAGGAGTTTCAATAAGGTCACCTGATAGTCTTCTCAACTCGCTGGGGCACAGGTCCAGGCTTTCTAACATTTTCTCCTAAGATCCTGGACAAGTCCCATTGGATTGCATTGCCAAAAGTGGAACTTGTTTATTCGAGAAAGGAGGGAAACAGAAAGGCAAGAACCAACAGATTTGGTTAGCCTAACATCCATCATAGGGAATTCACTGGTATCTATTATCAAAGGAGTTATAGTGGAACTCATCGAAAATTTCACTGCATCAGGGAGAGTCAACATGGTTTTGTGAAAGGAAAATTATACTTGACTAATTTAGTTCACGTTCTTTAAGAAAGCAGCAATACATTCATTCTCTGGTCACGAATCATGTTTTGGTCCAATGACTATTTACATGATGAACATAAATTTATGTTAACCATACCGACCCCATCTACCATAGCATTAAATAAAAGCAAAATATTGCAGATGCTGGAAATCTAAAATAAAAATAGGAAGTACTGGAGAAGCATAGCCAGTAAGAGAAGGCCATTTGGCAATTCAATAAGACCATGGCTGATCATTCAACCCAGTCCTCTGTCCCTGCTTTCTCCCCAAACCTTTTGATCCATTTAGCCCTTGAAAGGATTCAATGTTTTGGCCTCAATTGCTTTTTGTGACAGAGAATTCCACAGGTTCACCACTCTTTGGCTGAAGTAATTTCTCTTCATCTCAGTCCCGAATGGCCCACCCTGTGTCCTTAAACTCATCCTGGAAACTCAGCAGGTCTGGCGGCACCTGTGGAGAGCGAAACAGAGTTAATGGTTCGAGTCCAGTATGACTCTTCCTTGGAACTCCTGCACTTTCTGTTTTCAGGCCATAGAATCAGATGGTCCGAATAATCAAATATGGATGAAGAAGTCTGGACAGTAAGCAATAAGCACAGGAGTCAAATAGAAATGGTACTGCTGATGCAAAAAAGCTACAGTAATGTCTACAAGCATCAACACAAGAGGGTTCACTCCCTTTCTGGCTTAACTGCTGACAATAATTAAAAGATGATCTGTTCCTTCCTAAAGTTAGTTAAGTCTCGATGGCTGCCAGCAATCACCCAATTTCCTGAAACAAGTGGTGATTTTAAATCAGAGGGAGATAGATTTTATTCCGTAAGCTTATCAAGGGTTATTGAGCAAAGAAGGAAAGAAAGGAGTTGAGGGACTGAATTACTAGATTTACTGGAATAGTGCAGTGCACACTAGTGTAAAATGGATTCTTCCTGTTCCCATGTTCCAACACAAGGCTCCCCATCTTTTTCCACTACCCAGTCCCAAATCTAAACTGTTTGGTCAACATAGACCCTAAACTCCAATGCAGTTGTAATTTCTACCTTCTCTTCATAACCTTGAATTATTATTCAAGTATCTTTAACTATGCCTCCTATGATATGATTTGTAGAATATTGTTCCTGGTCCTGGTTGCAGTTTTATTTGTTAGGAATATGAACGAACATGAGCACTCAGGGCTAGTTTTGAGATTCTCACCCCCCTTTGATGATGCCTCACAAAATTACCCAATAAAAGATCTGTGGTTTAAGTAACACAAACCTAACTCAGAGCGCGAGTTGGTGCAATTGGCCATCCTTTCTTTAAAATATATATTCATTTGTGGGATGTGTACGTCGCTGGCTGGCCAGCATTTATTGCCCATCCCTAGTTGCCCTTGAGAAGGTGGTGGTGAGCTGCCTTCTTGAACCGCTGCAGTCCTCCTGCTGTAGATTGACCCACAATGCCCTTAGAAAGGGAATTCCAGGATTTTGACCCAGCGACAGTGAAGGAACGGTAATATATTTCCAAGTGAGGATAATGAGTGACTTGGAAGGGAACTTGGAGGTGGTAGTGTTCTCATATATCTACTCCCCTTGACCTTCTAGATGGAGGTCATCGTAGGTTTGGAACGTGCTGTCAGAGGATCTTTGGCGAATTTTCACTGAGACCAATGTTTGTCCTAGTCTCAGGCTGGGTGTCAATATCTCAACACTTTGCAGTTGGCTCTTTCTAAACCCGAATTTACTGTGCCCCATTTGTCTTTTAATGACCTTTAATGTAATGAGCAAATAACTGTGCGACTCTTAATTGTAAAGCCAAGTGAAGGCTAATTTAATGCTGCTGATATTCTATGGACTCAAACTCCTGAGCTTTCTGTTTAACCTTCACACTTAGCTTGAAAGATGCCCAATGACAAAGCAAGATTTCACTCTCTTATCGTCACTACTAGTCAGGTTAGTGCTAACTAGCAGTTGAACATTAACAGATGTTTATCTGCTTTATGGCAATATGTAACCTTGCTATTTTCATCAACACTTATGGATATTTCCTGTGAACTATTCAATTAACCATATGTCCAGGTTGAAGGCTTTGAAAGAAATTAAAGTGTACGCTTTAATTTCAGAAAACGTGATAAAATCCAGTTTCCTCTTCAGTTTTGTGATTGGAATGTGTTGGGACAGTGCTCAAAGCTCACTGGAGGGTAAAAATGGAGTTTAATGTATTCTTTGGCATTATCTTCACAGATTAACAGGTATTTTTTTCCTGCGGAATGTTCAGATACCTCCGCAGGAGATTCACTCGAAACCTAACAGAGCATAATCGTCAGACAGCTCGTCTCGTCTCCAAGGATGGGAGGTGTAACATCGAATTCGGCAACATCAAAGAGCATTCAAGGATTGGCTTCCTTGTGGATATTTGGACAACTGTCCTTGACCTCAAATGGAGATATCAGATGACTATCTTTATTTCAGCTTTCCTCGGAAGTTGGTTTCTCTTTGGATTGTTGTGGTACGCAGTTGCTTATATGCACAAGGACCTTCCTGAATTTTCACCCACTGACACCCATCTGCCTTGTGTTCAAAACCTCAATGGGCTGACATCGGCTTTTCTCTTCTCACTGGAGACTCAGGTCACGATAGGTTATGGGTTCAGATGTGTGACCGAACAGTGTGGAGAAGCCATCTTCCTCCTGGTGACTCAGTCTATCCTTGGTGTCATTATTAATTCCTTCATGTGCGGTGCCATCCTGGCCAAGATCTCTCGACCAAAGAAACGTGCCAAAACCATAACCTTCAGCAAAACTGCTGTCATCAGCAAACGCGGGGGCAAACTGTGTCTCCTGATCCGAGTAGCCAACCTCAGGAAAAGCCTTCTGATTAGCAGCCACATTTATGGAAAACTTTTGAAAACCACTGTGACCCTGGAGGGTGAGACCATTATCATGGATCAAGTCAACATTGACTTTATTGTTGATGCCGGAAATGAGAATTTATTCTTCATATCCCCTCTCACTATCTATCACATCATTGACAAGACCAGCCCCTTCTATGAAATGTCAGCTGAGACCATCAAGCAGCAAGACTTTGAGTTGGTGGTCTTCCTGGATGGCACCATAGAGGCCACCAGTGCCACCTGCCAGGTGAGAACCTCTTACATCCCAGATGAGGTCTTCTGGGGCTATAGGTTTGCACCTATTGTCTCCAAATCGAAAGAAGGGAAATACAGAGTTGATTTCTCCAACTTTGGTAAGACTGTTCAGGTGGATACTCCACACTGTGCCCACTGCCTGCAGGCAGAGAGGGAGGCCAAACGCAATGAGAAGAAAGCATACGACAACCCTGTATTCCAACTCAATGAAGTCAATGAAACCAAAATGTAAACATTGATGTCATATCTCTGATGATGTGCATGGGGCACTTAAATCTCCAAGCTCCTATTAAAAGGAAATATGTCATTTTTATGGTGGACACTCACTCATAACAGGAGGAAGCTTTAGACAGCACCAAGCCAGGATTGGGGTGGGACAGACAGTCTCAGTCCAGGAGTGACACAGGAAGGATAATGTTACGAACCAGACCAGACCAGAACCCTTCAAAATATATTAAGAAGGTAGCTTAGATCCTGACTTTTTTCTTATTTTAAAGGTAAATATCAGGCGCTGTGTTCCAGATGCAATTCGATTGGTCAAACTACTTGACGTTGGGCAAAACACAGTTTACTCAAACACTATAATTAAAATACAACAAAAGAAAAATAGAACTTAGAATAACCTAACTCTATTGGAAAACTTAACAGAATAATAGATACAGTAACTATTACTAATTAACTGTTCCAATATAGTAACATCCCATAAACACACCCTTGGCATAAAGGCAGTCAGAAAACAAATCTTATCTCTTATGCAATCCAGCAGCTAAGAAGACAACACCTAGCTTTTGGTTATAACCAAGAGAGGGAAAAATAGCTTCCATTTCTTTAACACCCCAACAGCCATTGCCAAAAACTCACAAAAAATCCTTTATCTATGAGAGCTTAACCACATCCACTCAGGCTGCTTCTATTGTTCCATCTTTAAAAAAACTTCCAAGGCCTCACAAGTTGTTTATCTTCACATAGACTGCTTGACACCTGTTCCCCCAATTTCTTTCTAAAAGAAACCAGGACAAATCACACCTCTCGAAGTTGCAGTATTGTCATAAAAAAAAAAGAACTGCGGATGCTGTAAATCAGGAACAAAAAACAAAGTTGCTGGAAAAGCTCAGCAGGTTTGGCAGCATCTGTGAAGGAAAAAACAGAGTTAATATTTTGGGTCCGGTGACCCTTCCTCAGAATGGGTATTGCAATATTGTCACACCTACCCCCTACCTTAAAAAAATATGAATCAACAATATACAAAGATGACATCATTTTTAAAAACACTTAGTCTTACTCTATTAGTACATTACAATGCATATACATTACATTGACTCTAAGCAAGCAAACATTCACTCCTACTATCTATGTAAGTTTGTTTACTCCTGCCTCCATCTTTCTTCATCAAAGTCATGACAACGCATCAGCAATTACATTTTCTTGTCCTGCCATGTGTATAATTTCAAATAGAATGGCTGCAGTAATAATCTCCATATACAGAGTCTGGAATCTTTGTCCTTAAAGTTCCCCAAAAACTTTAATGGGTTATGACCAGGAGATGCAATCATCTCAGGCATACTACTGATAATATAAATGCTGCAACATGGCAATGCCAGCACCAAACTCAAGGTTTCCTTCTTAATCATGGAATATTTCCATCGATGATTATTCAATTTTATAGAAGAATACTCAATAGGTCTTTCTAGCTTCTTGTCATCTTCTTGCAAGAGTACAGCACCGACACCCACATCACTTACATCAATAACCACTTTGAATGGCTTTGTGTAATTAGGTGTTGGCTAACACTGGGGCAGTGGTTAACACAGCTTTAATGCCTTCTGACAGTCTGCCATCCACTGAAATTTTCCGCACTTCTTCAGTAAGTCAGTTGGTGCAGAAACCGCACTGCTAAAATTCGGTTACAAACTTCCAATAAAAACATTCAATCCGAGGAACCGTAGTACTGCCTTCTTAGTTGATGGTATGGGAATCTCCAATAATCTTTGTTTTCATATCCCATGGGGCCATCTGTCCATGTCCAATAACATGGCCCAGGAATGTGACTTCGTCTTTTGTAAACTGACTCTCAGCCAGGTTTATCATCAAGCCTGCCTCTCTAAGTTGAGCAAAAAATTCCAATAGATGCTGCAAATGTGTAACTAAAAATCATGAGTTTGAAAATGTACACCACACAACTGGTTAACCCAGAAATCACTTTGTTGGTTAGTCTTTGAAACGTGGCTGGCACATTTTTCCTACCAAATGTCATGACTTTAAAATGGTACTGTTTATTCAGTGTTACGGAAGCTGAAATTTCCTTTGCTCTTGTGGATGAAGGTACCTGCCAATATCCTTTGAGTAAGTCCAACTTTGAAATATAAGTTGCTTGTCCCATCTTCTCAATACAGTCTTCCAGACGTGATTTGGATTTTGCCCCTGCATTGACTTTGCAATATTCCACACATCATCACTGGGTACCATCTGGTTTTGATACCACGACTGTGTGTGACCACTAGTCGCTGCAAGTCACTTCGATTATATTGTCTTTGGGCATACATTCAATCTCTCTTTGAATCTGTACCATCTTTAGAAGGTTGAGTCTAAGGATGTTTCTTAATTTGAACAGCATTTCCTAATCTACATCATGCATAATTAGATTAGTGCTTCCCAGCATATTCCCACATATCTCCCCATGTGATTGTAATAATTCTTTCAGGTCATTTTAATTTTCCTCTGGAGGGTAACTCAATAATTTATCCCAAATTTTAATAACTTCCTCATTGTCCAATTTAATTTGAGAAATGTCCAATCCAGAATCATCTGAAAGTGGTTCTTCACTCTGTGTTGTAACAAATAATACTTTTGCTTTCTTTCCCTGTCAAAGTATCCTTTGAGCATATTCACATGACGCACTCAGAGACTTCTCTGTGACATTCTAATCAAATAATTCAGCTCACTCAATTTCCTTTTGATTTGACAAGGCTCACTAAACCTGCTTTTAAAGGTTCACCTACCACTGGGAGTAACACTAACACTTTATCTCTGTTAGCAAAAGTGTGAAATTTTGATTTCTTGTCAGGTTCCTGTTTCACTACATGCTGTGCTACTTTTAAATGCTGCCTAGCTCTTACGAAGGGGAGGTTGGCACTTCTCTGGTAATTAAAACTGAAACACCCAGAGAGGCTTGCCTTGCCTCATAATGTATTAAAGGAGTGCTTAAACAAGAGAAATCCCTGATATTCATTTTATAATCAACAAGTAACAATGTATTTATTTAACTCCAGCAGTTAACAAATTAACAGAACTACTGACAAACTGAACAATTCTCCCTTAACTACTAACTATTCCCAAATAAAACACAATTCTGATGGTATGCTGTTCCATTAGATACATGTCCACTTATATAAACTAAACTAATAAAAAAAATGCTTAATTTCTTGAAATTACAGCGAGGATAAGTCTTCTGGAATTTTTTTGTTTGCCTTCTCAGCTGTCCTCCAATCAGGAACGCCTTCCTCCGTTGAATTCTTGTGTCAGGAATATTAGCTAAGGGTGCTGAAGTACCTTTATTTGGATGGTGCTTACTCTGGGATCTTAGTGATTTCAGTGAGAGCCAGTGATTTTCTCTGATTTTAGAGCTGATGGCTGTTGAAAGCTGTTCTCTTAACTGATGGCAGTTTACTTTCACACCAATTTTCCAAAGCCCTCTTCTTTTATATCCTTAATGACCTATTAATTTCTGACAACAGAATTGGTCCAAGGTTGTCAAAACCATCAAATATAAATTTAATTGGGCTTTGGTATCTAGGGCCTGGTTTAAATTAATTGGCTAAATTCAAAAACCTGCTGTCTTTGTAAAAATGCTGCTTTCGTGCTAACAGTATAGCCCTTTGATACAACTTCAAGAACTCTTTGTGCATCTGCTGCTGCCTGTAGACTTTTTGTTTAATCTCCAAGCCTAAAAAAACCCACATCTTTTAAAGGGACCATGCACTCTTACCCTCTATCATTTTACAAACAAATTCTAATGTGCTGCCCTCCAATCCACAAGTGCTATAACCAACTTGGCAACAGTAGCCAACTCACCTGCTCTACTTAATATTTCCAAAATTTGATATTTTGTCCAAATGTGTATTTTCTGAGCACTCGCTCACCAATTTATCCTTCATTAATTTCAATGGTTTTCCATCTTCATGCCCAAAAACTAATTCTAATGGACTGAATTTGGTAGATTTGTTTGGTCCATCCCTAATTGCAAAAGGTACAAGTGGAATTCCTTTATCCCAATCCTCTGGATAGTCTTGACTATAAGCCCTCAACATGGTCTTTATAGTTTGATGTCACCATTCCTTGATTCTGGATGGTACACAGTGGATTTGAATTGTTTTATTCCTAAGCTACCCATAACTTCCTTGAATAATTTTGACGTAAAGTTTGACCCTTGATCTGATTGTATCTCTGTGGGTGAAAAAATTGAGTAACTCTTCTACAATTCTTTTATCCATGATATTGTGTAAAGGAATGGGCTCTGGAAATCTAGTGGACCCACCCATTATGGTCAACTAATACAGATTCCCACTTTATTTTTAGGTAGGGGTCTGACATAATCAGTTATGACCCTTGTAAAAAGTTCCTCAAATGTAGGAATGGGTATTAAAGGTATTGGTTTTATCACTGCCTGAGGTTTTCCAATTACCTGATACATATGACATGTCTGGCAAAATCCAACCATGTCCTCATGCAATCCAGGCTAATAAAAATGTTTTTGTATTTTGGCTTGAGTTTTCCTTATTCCCAAATGACCTCTGACTGATAATTCATGTACTACCCACAACACCTCCTTTCTATAACCCACTGGAAACACAACTTGATGAACTTCTGCCCATTTCTCATCCACCTGAGTATGTGATGGTCTGCATTTCCTCATCAAGATGTCATTTTTAAGGTAGTAACATCCTGGGATATGCTCAGATTCTTCTGCTGTGTATGTTTTTTGATACAACTGCTTTAGTTTTTCATCTTGCTGTTGTAATTTAGCTAATTTCTCTGAGCAAAACATATCCACTTTGTCCTCGAGGTGTAGAGCTGGATGAACACAGCAGGCCAAGCAGCATCAGAGGAGCAGAAAAGCTGATGTTTCGAGTCTAGACTCTTCTTCAGAAATGGGGGAGGGGAAGGGGATTCTGAAATAAGAGGTCCACTGAGGTCTTTCCGAAGGGAGGAGGGTAACTTCTTCAAGGTAGGCATCCTTAGAAGAGGCTTTGCAGTGGGGTTAAAATTGTTACAGAGATAGTAGGAACTGCCAATGCTGGAGAATCTGAGACAACAAGGTGTAGAGCTGGATGAACACAGCAGGCCAAGCAGCATCAGACTGCGAAGCCTTTTCTAAGGATGCCTACCTTGAAGAAGTTACC